CCTCCCCACCAATTAATCAACTTTCAAGCAGCCAATCCCCCCCATTCCCTTGCTCCACTGTCGGCCACCTCACCCTTGCCCTCTTGATGATGATTTTAATCATCATTAACAATTGCCTTAATTAGCCCACTTAATTTGGGAGAGTTTAATCTAATTTGAAATTCAAATTTGAATTTCAAATACTTTTCTAAATTAGCCTTTTCAAATTAGGAAAGTTCCTAAAATTAAGTCTAATTAAAATTTAATTATATTTGATTTATTTTATTCTTCCCTAATTTAAGTTTGTAAACTTGGAAACTTGGTTTTCCCTCTCAATTTTCCTCCCCCTCTCCCCACATGCCACCGGCCCCCTTCTGGGCTTCAATTGGAAATAAATTTGAGTTTCAAATTATTTCCCTCCATCCTTTGAAATATGTAATAGAATTTCAGATTTTCTAATTCATCTCCTACCACCACCCTAACCCAAGCTTAGCCCAACAACTTCCTCTCCTCGGTCGACCGCCACCCCTCCTCTCTTGAGTTTGCTTTTCTCATGAGTTTTATCTCTTGGGAAGAGAAGAACTCAACCTTCTCCACCTTTGCTAGTGCATGGCCAACCCTAACGTTGATCACAAATTTGTAAAGGATTCTCAAGGCCGAACCGACATCCTCCGATCTCCCTTCTTTGATTTTAATTTGGATGTCGACGACTCCGTGGAAGACTACATAGACCGCATCATCTTCACGTTGGCACCATCAATTGAGGTACACCTCCCCATCAGATCGTGGGTGATCGTGGGACGTCCACCAATCCATCCGTTGCCGGTTACCCTTCCATCAACGAAGATCTTAGGCTTCTTCTTCATAGTTAGGGCTGCAAATGAACCGAGCCGAGCCGAGTATGTGAGTGTTCATGTTTGCGTTCATTTAATATCAGCTTGTTCAAGTTTGATTCATGTTTGTTCGAGCTTTATCGTTTGTGTTCATGTTTGGTTCATTTAAATTAATAGTGTTCATGTTCAGTTCATGTTCGTTCGTTTAGCGTTTATCGAGCTTTAAACAAACAAACATGAACGAACTGTAAACAAGCTCTTCTTTTAGATGTTCATTAACTTAACAAACGAGCTTTATCGAGCTTCCTAACAAACGATTACATCGAGCATGTTCGCAAACATATTTAATGATTTTTTTTAACTATCAAACAAACACGTTCATTAGCATATCTATGAACAAACACATTTATAATAAAAGTAATTGTCTATGTAACAAAGGCAATGATTTATAGGCAAATCCCATCTTCACAGAATTTTCCTAACAGCAGCATTAAAAAAGGCAACGATTTATAAATAAATTGCCATATAAAGCTACAATTACTTAGACGACAAGTTAAGTAATATTTGATACTGTCAAAATCCCAATCGTTTATTGGGCTCTTGATCCCATGGCCAAGGATGAAGATCCGTGGGAGGCTCACCAGGATTAGGCCAACCTCCTTCCATATTTGTATGGATGATTTAGGAAATATTATATTAGGGTAATCATGAATGATTTTTATTTATTTGTTTCTTTATTAAGTATCATGTATGGATCTATAAATAAGGATGATATTGTGTAATAAAATTAAGCTTCCTTTTTTCCCTCTCTAATTATTTGAATTGTAACAAATTGTAACATGGTATCAGAGCCACGATTTTCTGCCAATTCTTTGTAAAAGGAGGCCGGCCTTCATTGCCGCTGAAGAACGTTCCTTTTAGTTCCTCGTGTAAGAGGCGAAGAAAGGACTTTTGTCCGACGCCACCAGATGCGAGAAGACTCGTGGAAGAAGCCGAACGACGGAATCAGGAACGGAGGAAGAAAAGGAGAGAAGGAGAGGCGGAGCCTTGCCGACACTACCAACAAGAAACTCGCAGTGGACGAAGCTTGGCGAACCGACGGAGACCATGACGGAAGCCAAAGCCGCTGGCCGAGACGAGCTGAAGAGGCGACCAGTGACCTCGATCCAAACTTCCAATCTAACGGGAAGGGCATGTCGGCCGAAGACTTTGGATCCGAAATCCACTAACGATCCCGTCGAACATCCTTTTCGGCTGCTCTGGTTCCCCTCATTCCAACGTTGATCGGATCCGGATCCACATCCGCTATGTCTGATACGGTCTCAAGCCCGCCACCGTCCGCATTGAGGGTTTTGATTGCCTCCACCGTGAGAGCAGCTGCAGCCGTGGCATCCCTACCTTCACATAGGTGACCCGTGAAGCAACGAAGCCGCCCGATTTTTTTTTCAGAGAAGCTCAGCCCGTGCCCTATTCTGATCCGAGCCTTTTAGAGGCTACGTCCAGTTCAGTTTACTAGACCTGGAAGTTTCTTCAAAAAAAAAAAAAACCTTATCGACCTTTATTGTTGAACAAGGGAAATTTATTCCAGGAAACCTTCATTGCTAACCAAGGAAGATAGTCTTAATCACTATCATAATGTCATAAATCAATTCCTCCGAAAGTATTGACCAAACGGAGGAGTCGATAGTGCACCAAGGACGAGGTGATCTTCAAAGCATACAACCTTCCTATCGTCTAAATGGGAAGAACTACCTGAAGTGGTCTCAATTTGTGAAAACCTACTTGAAGGGGAAAGGTAAAATACATCACTTCCTTGGAGGAGGACCAAAAGAAGGATATCCCAAATTTGGGGCATGGGATGAAGTAGACTCCATGATTATGTCATGGATGTGGAATTCCATGACTCCAGAAATTAGTGATACATTTATGTTTCTTTCGACTACAAAGGACATATGGGATGCTGCCAGATAAACCTTCTCCAAAGCTCGTGATGCGGCTCAAATCTTTGAAGTTAAAGTCAAAGTTGGAAGCACGAAGCAGGGGAGTAAGACCGTGACGGAGTATGCCACCATTCTATAAAATCTGTGGCAGGAACTTGACCACTATAGGTGCATTGAAGCCAGATGTCCGGAGGATGCTGTGATCCTAAAGAACTTTATTGAAAAAGATAGAGTTTATGATTTTCTTGCAAGACTAAATACAGAATTTGACCAAGTTAGGGTTCAAATTCTTGGCAAGGAGGAGACGCCATCACTCAATGAAACTATTTCTCTCATCCGGGCAGAAGAAAGCCGACGAGGAGTGATGTTAGAATCGAAGTCCATTGAAAGCTCAGCAATGGTGATGAACAAAGAATCTTCATGGAAGGAGAAATGTAAAGATTTCTCAAAATTTAAAGACAAAGAATCACTTTGGTGCAGTTATTGCAAGAAATCAAGATACACAAAGGAAAATTGCTGGAAGATACATGGAAAACCCCCCAGTAAGGAGTAGAATCAAAGAACTGAAACAAGTCAGCCCAACCCAGAAGCACAGACCAGTTTTGGAGAATTCAATGAAGAAGATATTGATAAACTGAGACGACTCCTGATATCTCTTGAAAAATCAAATGCATCCTCTTCACTTGCAATCACAGGACCAGAAATTGCGGAAGACGATTGGACATGCTAAGGAGAGAACTGGATTGTATCACCAAGAAGAACATTACAAAGTTCCCACTATCAGCCTTCATTGCTGATCAAATCAGCCTTCATTGCTGATCAAATCAGCCTTTATTGCTGATATAATCAAATCAGCCTTTATTGTTGGTATAATAAAATCAGCCTTTATTGCTGGTATAAACAAATCAGCCTTTATTGCTGATCAAATCATCCTTTATTGCTGATACAAGCAAATCATCTTTTATTGCTGACATGATCAAATCAGCCTTTATTGCTACTATATCACAGTACAGCCTTCATTGCTGGAAACCTGAGGAATACAAAATTTTCACCACCGGCCTTAATTGTCGGAATTTTGAGGATAGTTTTCCATCATCGGCCTTCATTGCTGGCTTTCTTATATCGAGCTATCACGAGTCAATTAGTGTTCAAGTTTGTTTATTTAAGATTCGAGTATTTAAAATATTGTTCAAGTTTATTTATTTAGTTATTAAACGATCACAAATGAGCTTTAATCGAACCGAACAACGAGTAGCTCGTCGAACGTTTGGTTCACTTGCAGCCCTATTCATAGTGGTGATTTCTTCTCTAGTGTGGAGCATCTTCTTCCGCAAACCCCACGAGTGAATGAGTGAGGAGGTCCTCAAGGTGAAACCTCTCATTATTAAATTGGGGATTTTTGTTATTGCACTCATAACACTTGCTCTTGTCTTTGAAGTTTGATTGAATTGTCTTGGTTAATCTAACATGTACTTCTTTGCCTAAGCAAGTTAAAACTACGAATTTATAAAATCTTTCTTTGTCATGAGCATTAATTTTATATTGGAAAAGCTTTAGACAATTGCTCATTTTAATTTCTTGCTAACTCCTGGTAGTATCACATCAAAAGATGTTTTCAGAATAGAGTTAGCACCTCCTAGAATATTATATTGGAATGAATGAAGAATAATAATTCATAAAACCCAACCCAAATAGATGGAATAAGGATGATGATCATAATGATATGTTATTAATCAAATAAAGAAAGTTGGCATTCTTTTCTTCCTTTATCTTTTGTTCTTCATCACCATAAGATGTCTTGTACTCATTTCCAAGGCCCATACATAGGGCAACTACTGATGGGAGATGGTCAATGGCTGACCAGTAGTATTTATTGTGGTGGTAGAGATGGAGCTTTGGATAGGATGGATCCAGGAGGCCAAAAGGAGGTTGTGTTATTGCAGGAGATAAGTAGCGAAGGATGTGGAAAGCACTAGGTTCGGTCTATAAGACAGATGTGGCCAGGAGTGCCTTTTCTTTTACTTTCTTAATGCGAGAACAAGCTTGTTGGCGGCAAGCCTTCCCTATTTACTCAGATATTATCATTATTTATCTTGATTGATTAAACTTAATAATTTTCTAATTTTTCAGTTGTTTAAACATATTCTTTAAAGTTATTGATATGACTTGCTTTTTTTTTAAAAAAAACAAAAATTTGTTATGATCTTTAATGTTTATTGAGTTTAAAAACCTGCTGAATCTGGTATAGGAAATATCTGGATAAAACGTGCCGGTGGGTTGATGTGAACATTACCACAATTAGGATTCTGAGTTCAAATGCTGAGGTTGCTCTGGGTTTCCTTTTCATAATTTCACTGTTTTCGTAAGTTAACTTGAATTTCTTCTACTCTTTTCGGCCTTATCTTTTCTCTGTTGTTTTGTGATTTCAAGCTCTATTCTTACACATCAAGATAACAATGTACTCAAAATCAGTTCTCTGTTTCAGGCAAAGGCGCAGCATAATCCACACCTTTATGTACTGGCAGGTGTGTCCTGTTCTCTCTCTCTCTCTCTCTCTCTCTCTCTCTCTCTCTCTCTCTCTTATATCTTCAGCACGAAGTAGAAATGTTCAAACTCCTGTATAACTCATTTTAGTTAATAATATCTTCTAAAGGAAGGGAATAAGATAAATAATTTATGCAAGCTTCAACTATTTGTGCATTTTAAGTTACTTTGTCACACCTGCTTTGTTTTTTTTTTTTTTCTAGCCTATATGTTAAGAATCACAATCCTAAGAGTTGTATGTAAGAAAACTTAGTAGTTCCTCTGTGAGAGCGCAAAGTGCATATAATTCTCCACAATAGAGCACTGATTTCAGAACTGTATAGTATTCTTCCTTGAATGAGATAAAAATATATTTTCTCATCTCTAATTGTGTTCTACAGCTGCTGAAGCTCATGTATAATGTTCCTGCAACTTGTAGCTACCATCAGACCGTCTGGTCCACAATCGATCGTACCATAACTCCTTTCATTAATCGCTATGCTCCCTTCTTGAATACTCCTATCTCAATTATCAAGAAATGGTGGTTGCGGTAGACTAAGGCTTCGTTTGGGACGGCTTTTTTACTGTTTTTTAAAGCTGTTTTTTATTATAAAAGTTAAAGCTAGAAAATTGCTTTAAGAAACAGTAAGAAAGCCGTCTCAAACGAAGAAAAACTTGGAGAAGTTCATTGGATCCCCTGCTTTGAATGAATAAAGTTTTGAATGCAAATCTGGATGGAAGGAACGCAGACGAAGCTTCCCATCAGGCCGGTCACCTTCCCAAATGATTAGAATTCTTTTTTTTGATAATTTAACCAGGTTTATGTGAGCTATTTTTAGCCATCTAGTGTTGGTACTTGAGAGAAGCTTCCTCACCTGAGTAAGCTTTCTGCACTCGTTCTCTTACAGTTGATTGCTGAGCTTAAGTGCTGAGTTCAGAAATATTATGTTATATAGTGTTTATTGGATTGTATGATCTTACTGATCACTTCATTAGAATCTGTGTTGGTTCACTGAATGCAAATGTGGATGGAAGGAATCCAGAAGAAGCTTCCCATCAGGCCGGTCACCTTCCCAAATGATTAGAATTCTTCTTTTGATAATTTAACCAGGTTTATGTGAGCTATTTTTAGCCATCTAGTGTTGGTACTTGAGAGAAGCTTCCTCACCTGAGTAAGCTTTCTTCACTCGTTCTCTTACAGTTGATTGCTGAGCTTAAGTGCTGAGTTCTGAAATATTATGTTATATAGTGTTTATTGGATTGTATGATCATACTTGATCACTTCATTAGAATCTGTGTTGGTTCACAATTTATCTGAGTTAAAGGCGAGATCTGGGTATTTTAGTGGTTAACCATTACCTTATTTTATTTTATTTTTGGCTATTCTGTTTGAATTTAAACTATCTAAATTAATCATTTGAGATAGATTTTTATCCTTAATATTAATTTAAAATCTTGTAATGTTTTTTTTAACGTAAGATGGTTCTATTTTATTCATAAATTAAATAATAATAAATAAATTATCTTTAAAAATATATTTTTATTTCAAGCAATAAAATGAACTTTTAGTTTATTTTTAAAGAATTTGTGCCAAGTGGCGATGTAATGAATGGAAGTAGTAACTATTTGTATTATACTAGCCATTTAGCTCCAATTAAAATTTAGGGTTTATTTGGGATGGATGTAATTTTTTATAAAATTTATTGTAAAAGTATGATAGAGAAAATAATTTAATTACTCAGGCTGCAGAAAGTAAGTTCTTATTATAATTTTTTTTGAAAAGTTGTGACAAAATGTATAAAAATAGTAGATGAATAAAATTGTGGTTATTATCTGAAAATTGTGACCCTCGATCTTTTTACCATATGGCTCTAGGTAGGGGTGTTAATGTATGACAACTTGAAAATTCGACTCAAAATTTTTAGGTTTGGTTTAATTCATTAAACAAATGGATTGGCTTTGGGTTTAAGTTTCAACCCAATTGAAATATTGGGTCGGGTTCGAATAACTCACAAATTTAAATAAAACTTGTTTAACTCATTCATGAACTTTTATTACGTCCTCTGATCGGACGTAGATTTATGTTTGGTCAGAGGATTGTTACTCGATTTTTGCTCGGTATTTGGTCAGTATTGTTAGGTATTATTTGATAATAACGAGGAATATCACTCTGGGAAGATTAATACCGAGTAATACCGAGCAATACTGAGTATTACCAAAAAATACCATGTTTTTCTAGAAAAAACTCGGTATTTTTTGGTATTACTCGGTATTGCTCGATATTGCTCGGTATTACTCAGTATTTTGTCTTCGCGTAATGATATTTCTAGTTATTATTGGTATTGCTCGGTATTTACTCGGTGTTTCTCGTTTTGTGCCTGCCATCTTAGTGCCGACCGAACGTAGCTCTACGTATGTTCACCGGACCAAATAAAAGTTCGTTTATTCATCCACATCTTGGCCACTCATCTTGCTTCACACTCTTTGCGCTCGGCTTGATCTCGCTCTCTCACTTGCCAGCCCTTATGCTTGCTTGCTCGTGATTGCCTGTTGCAATCTATCGGGTTAACGGGTTGGGTCAGGTTCTGGACTAAATTTTTAATCTGTTTGGACAAACAAATCGGTTCAAGTCAGATGTGTTAAAAGTGGGTTAATTTTGGGCCCATTTTGCTTTCAGTTTTGGTCCATTTTGCTTTCAGTTTTGCTCAGAAGTTTTGTGCCTCCACCTCATCTCTTCGTGGGGTTCTGCTCCTTAGCCTAATCTACACATAGCTCCTCTTGTGCAATTCATCTAAGAATTATCTCCTATGACTACAACCCTCACCAGATCAAGCCTACTTTCTCCTATTATTCTCATCCTCACCTCTTCCCTCGTTGATAGACATACTGAACAACCCTCCAGAAGGAAAACTATCAGGCCCAGTTTCATTGCATGCAAACTAAACCCCCAATTTGAAGGAGCTTTTGAATGCTTCAATTTGCATATTTAGGCTTCATTTGGGACAGCTTTTGTACTGCCTCTAAAACGATTTTATTATATAAAATTTTCTAATTCAATTTTTTTTTTACTAAAAAGTTGTTTTAGAAAGCAACAAAAAAATTGTCTCAAACGAATCCTTAGAAATTTCTCAAGATGAAATGTCCTGAACATCTGAACTAGCTTTAAGAGAGAAGGATTGGGACATGGCTCCTGTTGTTTATGCCACACCGTTTATACTAACGGTTTCTACAAGTTACTAAAATCCAATGCAGAAACTATGTTATAACATCTACAAGTAATTGAATTAATTCATAGAAAGAGCGAGATATATATATATTTCTTGGAACGGGGATATTTTTCTGCTGTCACTCTAAAGTGAGCACTTAGCGGCATAACTGATCCCTCGACGGATCCTAGTGAGACCACCCATCGGCATTGGGTCCACACTTGCTTTGTCCCATTAAAAAGGCGAGGCCGTAGTAGAGGGGATTCGAATCCGGAATGGGGGGTTCCCAACAATGCTCGCCTATCAACCAACGAAAGCCTAAGTGGACATAATTATTAAAACATTTATTAAGTCATCAAAACATCATTTATCAACAAGCTCACTAACCTTCTATCCATAAAATAGCTATAAATCGTATATCGAAAGATTAAAGTTTTTGTTTGTGGTAGTTTTCTTACTGTTTTTAAAAACTATTTTCTAATATAAATTTTTTAATTCAAAAGATTTTTTTACTAAAAATCTGCTTTAGAAAGCAATATGAAAGTTGCCCCAAATGAAATATATGTTAGATTTGAAGATGAACTAGCTTTAATAAAATTTAAGAAAGCTTCTATTTGGTTTTAATACCCAACTTTTATATCAAATATTTGATAAAACGAAATTTCATAATTTTAATGTGTAATTTTGCATTTGATCATTTTTCATATTTTTTCCCCTATTGGTTTGCTCTTTTCGAAAGAGATTATAAGTATTGCATTGGAAATGATCATAAGAAAAAAATAATAATTTGCTTTCTTATGAACCATAGATAAAAATATGCATGGATAATATGTTGGAATGAAAAAGGGCTTTTGGAACAAGAGAAGGCTAAAGAGAAAGAGGAAGAAAAAAAACTAGAATATTATTTTTAAAAATTTTTGGCTTAATACAACTCAAAGACACCACCACTATTTATACTAGTAGTACACCGTTAAGATTGTGTCAACACATTTCAATCTAATGATAACAAATGACTCTTTAGAGTATTCTCATATCTTCACTCATAAATGCATAACATTAAATGCCTATTCTAGACTTTTCTAATAATTACTCTATAATAGAATTCTAGAGTATTCTAATAATTATTATATAGCATATTTTCTAGAGACTTCTAAAATAGATTACTCTAGATTATGGGCTTCAATCAAAAGCCCAAATAATAGCGGTTCAAATTAAGTTTAATTTCCAACATCCCCCCTTAAACTTAATTTTGTGACTCCAAGAAAATTTCTCATCTTGATATAGTCTTCAAACTTGAGTGGCTTGGTGAAGACGTCAGCAAGCTGGTCTTGTGACTTCACATATTCCGCTTGCACTTCCTTCCTTGCAATGCATTCTCTGATATAGTGATAGCATGTATCAATGTGCTTGCTTCTATCATGGAAAACTGGATTTTTTGGCTAATGCTATTGCAGACTTATTATCAACATGAATCTTCGTTGCTTCTTCTTGAGGCAAGCTTAATTCTTTTAACAAGTTTCAAAGCCAAATTGCGTGGCAAACACAAGATGTTGCAGCTATGTACTCTGCTTTACAAGTAGACAGACTAATAATTGGTTGTTTCTTTGACATCCAGGTGAAAGTTGTATCTCCTATAAGGAACACATAACCAGTGGTGCTCTTTCTATCATCCATATCGCCAGCCCAATTACTATCGCTATATCCTACAAGCCTAAAATCGTTAGATGATGAATAGAGTAAGCCAAAGTGAATTGTACCTTTGATATAGTGTAGGATTCTTTTAGCAGTTTTAAGTGGCTGGTGGTTGGAGTCTCCATATAGTGACTACCAAGTCCGACATCATAGAGAATATCATGCCTTGTGCATGTTAAGTAGCGCAAACTCCCGACCAGGATCTTGAAAAATATAGGATAAACTCTTTCTCCTTCATCATGCTTTGATAGCTTGACTCCACATTTAATAGAAGTATTTATAGGTTTGCAATTATCCATCTTAAATTTCTTCAACATCTCCTTTGCATAGCTTTTTTGTGAGATAAATATTCCATCTTCCATTTGATGGACTTCAATGCCCAAATAATAGGCCATGAGCCCAATATCAGTCATCTCAAATTCCTTAGTCATTGCTTGTTTGATTTCTTCAAACATCATTTAATTATTTTCGATGAAGATCAAATCATCAACATACAATAAAACGATTAAAACATCTTTATTCTTATTCTTGATATAAAGAGCATGTTCATAAGGGCATTTTATAAAACCTTTGTCTTGCAGGTACTTATCTATCCAACTATTCTATGCTCTCGGTGCTTGTTTTAACCCATAGAGTGCATTCTTTAGCTTGAGAACTTTATCTTCTTGCCCTTTGACTTTGTATCCAGGTGGTTGTTGAATATATACTTCTTCTTCAAGAACTCCATTCAAAAAGGCTGATTTTACATCCATTTGATGTATCTTCCATTTATTTTGAGCTGCCAGGGAAATGATTAGTCTAATTGTTTCTAAGCGAGCAACAGGAGCAAATACTTCATCATAGTCGATGTCGGCTCTTTGACTATAGCCTTTTGCCACTAGTCTTGCCTTGTATCTTTCAGTTTCTCCTTAAGCATTCTTCTTTGCTTTGTACACCCATTTCACGCCAATTGCTTTGTATCCGTGAGGAAGTGAAGTCAGTTCCCATGTGTCATTCTTCTCGATTGCTTTAATTTCTTCATCCATAGCATCCTTCCACTCCTTATTTTATATGGCTTCTTAAAAATTCATGGGCTCACATTCTGCAAAGAGGCAAAAGAG